CTTTGTATTTCGGTCTCTTCTTGTTCATGATCACTGGTCATTGTGATTTCATTATCTATAATTGACTCAGTATCTACATGTTCTGTGATCTCCATCAGTTGACTTTTCAGCTCCTGTGAATCACTTGCATTCTTGATAATTTTTATGAATTTGTCTTCTATATAGGGTTGTAAAAGATCTTCTTCTTTTCCCTTTTCTTGTTGCCAGAGGTATAGAATATATTGAGTAAAGATCTATTCCTTATGAAATATTGTTTTGTCTATTCCTAGAATGTTAACAATAATACTATCTAGAATAGTAAAAGTCTCTGATGTGGGAATTGTTTCTTCTTTTGGGTCTCCTTCTTTTTGCCTTACCAATTGTTGAGATACCTATAGTTCTGAGGTTTTGTCATGCTTTCTTGAAAGCTTAATTAAGGTATTCAAGATATTTTCCTTCCTTTTGTTTACTATATGAAAAATGCATTGTGCCCTATCCATATTGGCTGTGTCATGTGGTTATTGAATGAGTCATGCTTTGCAAATTAACTCTGTTTATTTGTTTACTTGTTCGGATAGTATTACTAGGGTTTTTTAATAAATCTGTTGTACTAGTAGATCAATTGTGGGGTAAATACTGTACGAGTTGCAGGTTGTTTATCTATTTATTTGTTGATTTCAGTAACACATGTGTTGGTTCAATTAAGGATAAACTGGATATAAGGAACATGTTTTGAGATTAGCTAGAACACGTGTTGAGCTTGTTTATCTGTTTAGAGATGCATTACGTAATCTGTTGTTATGTCTCTATTGTCTAAAGGGATGTGTTCACATTCACGTTACGTGCTAGTTGTTTATGTGTTGCTTATGTGTTGTTACTGATAATCTCTAGCTGTTACTCTTGAGTTCCTGACATCCTTTTGGGTTTTGCAAATTTTGAGTTTTGACTGGTTTACCGGTTGAAATTACTATATTGCCAAGTTCCTTCTAATGTCTAGAAAGGTGTAAATCTGCACTGGCCTGGTTGAAAGCTAGGAAAGTTGATGTTTAGTTCCTTGGACTTACTGTGATTCAGATCTACTTTTGTTTTCCCTTTCCCTTAAAAGTTATTGAATAAAGTACTAATGTTATTATTATGTACTCTTCTCCTGGTGGCTTGTTTATAGAGCTTTATGTATTGCTCCAAGTGGGATGATGTAGTTGTGTTTCTCTTTACTGTATTTGCTGAGCTTGGATTGTGTTATTCTTTTCTCTAAACAATTATCAAAAAAGAAAATTTTTAAAAAAATAGTGGATCAGTGGAAAGAGTTTTTTGTAGTTATTGAAAGAAGTTATATTTATACTTTTTTATATATAGGACTATTACATAATCACTATGCTATTCTAATATTATATCATACATAAATTACTTTATAGTCAGCTAATTTTCTATTATTTTAGCTCATGGTTTTTTATCTTTTTGATGTAAATAAATTGTTTGTGAATTTTTCTATTTTGTAAGGAGTATGGTAATAATTTACAATTAATTGTTTTATGTAAGCTTAGGTCATATCACAATTGTGATCACGTGATTATAGCGAAAATACTGAACTTGATCTGACTTCTTTGGCTTTTAATAGTATGAATCAATAATTTCATATCAGTCTAGAAAACTAATATTATTATTATAATCAGAAATGACTTTTTTCTTAATATATAATAGTTTTTTTTTTATTTTTCTACGGAATTTTATTTATTCTAAATTGATCCTGAATTTTCTATTATATCAGATTTTGGATAGATTAATTAGCTAAAGTTTAGGATTAATTATTTTATAATTAGCAAAAATGTAAACAAGAATGTATATAATGTATGATATGAATATATTTTTAAGTTTTATAAGAATTTTAGATTTACTATAAGTTATAAAATCTAATATACAAATACAGTAAATAAATATTATATGAACTACATATATTCTTCTCTTTCTCATTATTACTTAAAGTATCATAGTTATGAAAAAAGTATCTCTTCTATTGAAATAAAATATCAAGAACTCACTCTATTCATAAAAGACACATATTTTTCTATTTCAAAATAATTCTAAAATTTTTTTATTCTAATTTAAATAAATTTTTAATTCTTATATAATATAAACCATTATCAAACATACATTCTTTATCTTAATATATCCAGTATTAATAATAGATCACAATTATTAGAACTGCAAAAAAAAATATATTTTTCCTTTCAAGAAAATTAGTTATGTTTTTAAGTATTTACTAGTACAATATTTACTCTATTTTGGGATTTCAATCTTTTTGACTTAAGCTTCTTTCAATTAATAAGATCAATAGAATTTTATTAATCTAGTTTTTATTTCAGTTGATCATAAGATCAGTCCTATCATTCTTCATTTTATTAGAATAATGATAAGATATTAATTCATTTTTTTACATAAATTATCTTTTATTTTTTTTCACTGATCCTCTAATCACACACAAAAAAGATGTTTGCAAGAAGTTTTAATACTTCTATTTTAATAAAGTCTTACTGCTTTCTTTAAATTAACTCAAAGAGTTCCCTTAGAACTCTTTCATCCCTCTTGTTTACAATCTTTTTTAAACAAACTGAACTCTTGTGATTTGCAAAGTTCAACTCCTACCTTTACTACCTATAGCAAGAAAATTCCTAAAGGAAAAAGGACCAACAATATAATACCTGTCATCTTTCAAATATGATAGATATAATAGAAGTTTTGATTCAGTCAAAGGACTTATTTCTTCACCCTTTGATTGGCTTTGTGATCTCTTAGAGCTATCTTTTTTATGGTTTTCTAAAGAATTTTATCTACCCCAGCTTGATTCTGAAATTTTGAGTAGTATGGATTTCATTAATTCTGATTGGCTGACATAAAATATGTTAGACAAGATGAATAAACAAGCTTTTATTGGTCTCTTTACATGTTTGAATGTATTTCCTCAGCTCTATAAGAACTTGGGGTCTATTATAAGTCATATTGTTTGGCATAGGTGGATACAGAACATACTATTAACATATCATTGAATATAAAAAAGGATTCGTTTGACCATGGTAAAGATTAGAAGATGCTTGATTGACCTTTTTCAAGTCAAAGTTATCTATATCCTGATTGTATGTCAAGTAGGTTTCAACCTCTACTGTTTGGAAAGTCTAAATCAAAGAAAGTATGGAGATATCAAGGATACTTCGTGATAAAGCTCATGTGCAAAGCAATCTAGGAAGTTTTCATTCTATTTTCAAAAAATCCCAAGTTGGAAGACTAAAAGGCCAATACCACTACACCAATTAAAACTTGAGTTTGAAAATGTTAGCAGTGATATGTGAGTCAGCCAGAATGTCTGGAAAATTCTTGTTGATCATTAATATCAATGGTCACCAGCAAGGTATATTGACTACAAGGTTAGATATTGTTCTTCTTATAAGGAATTAAATCTGAAATAAGATACACAGATAGATAAGTATATTTATATTTAGATAGGAATAGGTTTAATTGACAATATACCGGAAGACTTTCAAGTTGATTATGTGGATACCAATATATTACCTGGGTCTTCTTGGTTATACCCTTCCTATAAGCCTTAAAACTATAAAGTCTCCCTTACTGGCTTTCACCTTATCTCTGTAAAGACTCAGTAGAAATTTTTTTCTCAGATCTTTTTATAGGAGGAACTGGAACAAGACAGGCATGTGTCAAGAAATAGGACCAGTATACTGTACATAACTGTCTAATTTTTTCATTTTATTTTTGTATTTTCATTTTATGACACTGGTATATTCTAGGGATGCTGGTTTTTTTTGATAAAAAAAAGGGCAATAAGTCTCGAAGTAGCTTTAGAATTAACTTTAGCTTATTATTATCTTTATTAATCCCGAATATATATCTTTGTATTCGTGCTTTGCACTATGTACTCTTGTAATTTGGAAATCAATAAAGTTAGGCATGAGCCCATCTCAAAAAAAAAAATTAAAATAAAATAAGATACTAATCATTCACAATACCTATAGACTGACCTAATTTGGCAAAGGTCAGTTATAGATAACATTATTTTATAGTAGATATTCATTTCAAATATCAATAAGATAGCTAAAACTATATCTAATAACAAATATTGATTTATTATTTATCTTGTATCCGCATTTTGCCCTGACTTGAAACTTTAATAAAACAAGGCTGAGTCGTCGTTTCAAAAAAAAAAAAAAAAAAACAATTGATTTATTATTCATCATGTGGTCGGATACTTCTGTCAGGTGAGCCACTTGGAATGCGAAATAATTAGTTTAATAAAGGGATTCTAATAAAAAGGGTAACTTAATATTTTATAAATATAGTATTTACAATTCCAGGTATTAGAAATATCTTTTTATCGATTAATAAAACTTTAGCGAGCAATAAAATAATAGTTATTATTATTATATTATTATTGGGATCTATTATTTAATTTCAGTAAAATTAAGACCTGTTGATATTATAAAAGATTTTTTTGAAAAATATTAATAACAATAATTAAATTTAAAATGCAGTATATAATAAAATAGAAAAAAGTCCAACTTTTAAAGGGGACTATATGCCGTATAAATCATTTGTCAAGAAACATATGCGTCAATAGTAACATTTGTCAATAGTAAAACGTTCAATTTGAAACTCGTAAGAAACGGTAATTTATTGTACTTCAAGTAAGCACGTGTTAATGACATTTTAATGCGACAAAAGAATTTTTGTAATCGATACTGATTATGATGACATGTTACTGCATATTGCTAAGGTATATGTGTTCTCGAGTTTAAACTGATCAAAGGTCCGAAAGGTTGTCAATATAATAAGAGTGCTTGTTATGAAAGCTCCGAACTCTCGACTTAATTCAAATCTCGTCGTTTTTTAATTCTTACTTTTAATTCGGTACACGTCCTCAGGATTGTTTCGCGATACTTTATGGGTGCATTCATGTCCACAAGCTCTACATCATATTTTGAATACAGTAAAAGTAATGTAGCCTTGAGTTCTAACAATGCCAGATTTCTTCCGGGACCTAGGATAAGTTATGATGGGATTAGAAGAGAAGAAAAACTTGAAAAGGCATCAAGGTAATAATATACATACACTTTCTTTCACCCGAACCAAACATGTAAAAAGGATTTTTACTCTCTGGACTTGACTTTAAAAATCGATCCGGATCAAATTCTTCGGTATTAGACCACTGGGATTTATGCCTGTGAAGAAGTAAGCTACTTGAGAAAAATATTGTATTAGCCGGGAACTTAATGCCACCAATTTCAACAGGTTCTCTATTTTGTTTTTTAATAAGGGTGACAATAGGGGTAAATCTATTAACTGTAAATAAATGATAATAGTTTAATGAGCAATTTGAAAATAATGTTAATTCTTGTGAGAGGAAAAAAAAAAAAAAAAGGTACTTTCTTTAATAAAAGCTTCGGTGTACTCAAGTTTGTTAATAACGTCGATAGTAATTTTCTTTTTGGAACATCCATATACTTTTGAGATTGTATATCTTTGGATGGTGAATTACACTGTTGGGGATGGATCTACATAAGGCTACTTTATTCTTGAAAAGCTTATAATATGCTGCTGTCAAGTTATTGCATATTTTCCAGGACAATATGCTGTGCTGTATTCTAAACTCTATCCTTGGAATCAATACTCTATTTAGTATATAAAGGGCTTGTTTATCGGTCATTTTCTTGTTTT